TTTGTTTGTTTGTTTAACTCTTTACTCTTTAGGGGTCCCTCATCCAGCTCCCAAATAATCACACAGATACTTATTCTCACTTATGAATGCCCGACCTTAGCTTGATTTATTTCTAGCCAGCTTTTCTTAACTTAAATTATCCCATCTACCTTTTGCCTCCGGGCTTTTACCTTTCTCTATTCTATATACCTTTCTTTACTTCTTACTCCGTGGCTTGCTATGTCGCTGGGTTGACTGGCCCCTGGTGTCCTCTCTCCTCCTTTCCTTGCTCTTTCTTTTTAATTTTTCTCCTATTTATTCTCTCTGCTTGGCAGCCCTGCCTATTCTTTCTCCTGCCTTGCTATTGGCCGTTCAGCTCTTTATTAGACCAATCAGGTGTTTTAGACAGTAACACAGGTACACAGAGTTAAATAAATGCAACACAAAAGAATGCAATGTATCTTTGCATCACTAAACAAATGTTCCACAGCATCAATGAATGGAACACATCTTAAAACGATATTCCATGACATCACAAGTCATTGTTGGCCAAGAAGCTGAGCAGGTGTCTCTCCTCTGTTGTTGTTCTCTCACTCTAAGAAGAGAAACCAGAAAGAACAGAAGGTTTGCGTACTGGTCAGGGCAGCTGCAGGATGGATCTGCCCCCACCCAGTTTCATCTTCCTGTCCACTCACGTTTTCTGATAGTGTTTTGGGTTGACCCTGGAAACTAAACCTCTAATTCAGAAGGAGACTGTGGGAGTGGGAGACACAAGGTGCATTTCAAGTCCACTTTCCAAGAGGACTTCTTAGTTGTTATGAGGTTAGCAACCTTCTTCCAAAAGAAGGTCCCTATGGCCAAAATGATAATGACCGGCCCATGGTTAAGCAATGGGTATAGTGGCCAAAAGGAAAATACCCCACTGTAGTAAACCATATTAGAAGCCATATTCACATGGGGGTGGGAGTGTCTCTGAGATATACAAACTAAATGCCAAGGAAAGCTGATTTTGAAGTAAAGCACCTAGTTATAGAAGTGTGGATTTTTTTTTTTTTACCATGAAGCTGTTCATTTGTCATTTAGATATGGAGAGATAACTTGGCTATCTGCTGACAGTCGTGGAATTTCTGCTCAATATATATTTGTGCATGGGAGGAGGGTAAGGGCAAGACCTTTCTCCAGGGTCTCAAAGAGGCCTGCAATCAAATTTTAAGACCACTCCCAAAATGCACCAAAACTATTTGCCCTAGTACATGTCTACAGCTTCAAACAAATGGATTCACCCAGCACAAAGAACAGGTTAAGCATCATACTTCCTAAGACTTGTCATCAGCTTTTTAGAACCACAAAAAGTTAAGCCACTAAAATTTTAACCTCTTCCCAACAGTGCATAAGCAACCTTAGCGTGAACATCCAATTGTAAAAGTATGACCAGGCCCAATGTGATACACACCTATAATCCCATCACTGGGAAACTGAAGCAGGAGGTGCCATAAGAGGATGGGGGACAGCAAGGCACAGTAGCCCTCAGCTGAGAATTGAGCCAAAGTCAAAGCGGCATCTGGCCAAGGGGCTGAAGGATCCCAGGTAGGAATAAGGAAGGAGGGCTTATAAGAATAAAGACTGGTGACATTCTTCTGGTTAACACATCAGCAGAGTTCAGACATTAGTATAGGGCAGCCCTCTGGTTAAAAAAAAAAACAAAACAACAGCAGTACACAGTCCAAACCACTTCGAGTGGAATACTGTAAGTACTTAATGTCTTTCTTCAAAGGATATTAAAAAGCATAGCTTTGTTCTATAGAATAGTTAATAGCATTACTTTTATATTATAAATAAATAAAATAAAATATGGTGACTTTTTAATTGCTTATGATCTTGGGTTTGTTTGTGGGTTTTCGTTATTTATTTTTTCCCCTTGGAGCTTCTTCAATGGACATTTTCAATCGAACTGAAAGTATGCTGGGGCCTGTTGACATCTGAGGCTGGCTCATCCTTCCTGTGGAGATTGTCCTGTGGACTGTAGGCTGTTCAGCCACATCCTTGGTCCCTGCTGAGTAGACACCACTACTGTTTCATCCCTACCTCCAGCTGGGATAGCCAGAAACATCTTCAGACACTGGCAAAAATCCCTGTAGATAAAGTCTCTCGCAGTTAAGGACCCCCGCTATGATGGGCATAACCTCAACCCAGAAAGCCAAAGTGCCACCAGGGAGGGATGGCTCCGCAGGCAGAATTCGCTCTGATGACCCAAATTTGCTCCCAGAAACCCACATGAAAAAGCTGAATGGGGCGGCCCACGCTTGTAACCGCAGCGAGCCTGGAGTACAGGGCAGCATGAAAAACCAGAGACTGCCTCAACAAAACAGGAGGTGAGAAACGACGTTGCACTCTGACCTCCTCGGTGTATTTTGGCCTGTGTGCCACTAAAAACACATACAAATAAATAAATAAATAGTAACAATTTGAAGTCCATAAGATACCTCCATTTTTCCTGTTATCAGAATGTCCACTTTTGTGTGAGCAAAGGCCTGACTAGTTGATTGATATTCCTAGGATTCAAATAAATTCTACATGTTTTTTTTTGCTGTTGTTAGTAATAAACATTAGGAGGAATGTATCTTTAGACATCATCATCTTAACCTGGTTTGTCTTTTTTTCTTTTCTAGTACCAGGTATCAAACCCAGGCCTGTGCACATGCAACGTATACACCCTCCTGCCAAGTTACACCCCGCCACCTCTGCCTGCCTTGAGTTTTGAAATCAATCAGCAAGCAGCAACATATCAAATATTGCCATAACTAGGAACATTTTTTAAAAATGCTTTTTAAAGCTCAATTTTTTTTCCCGCTCTACTAACTGGAATAATTTGTCTCTGGTTTTTCTAGGAGTTCCAATAATATTTTATCTTTTCTTTACTTTTTCTTTTTTTGCACCACTTAGCACAAGCAGCTTTAACCCAGTTTAGAGGGAGTCGAGGGCTAAACATGAACACAGCGATTTGTTCTCCGTACATAAGAGAGTTCTTTTACCTAGGAACATTTCCTCACCTTTCCTGTTGCCCCGCTGGTCCTCTTGCACACTCTCTGGTTACTTTGTGGGGAATGCATTGGGCACCTCTAACCCTAACCCTAACCTTGCTGCATAATTGACCTACAGAGTTGGGAGAGGCTGAATGATGCTCCCTGAGAAGCTGTCGGAGCTGGTTTGTTCCAGCTCCAGCTCCTTCACTTCCAAGCAACAAGTAAGTACACAGCTCTGGGTGTCAGTTGCTTCCTATTCAAATTCAATTCATGTTCACATGGCTTTGCCAAGCTCACATCTGACAATGCCTTAAAGCAGGGGTTCTCAACCTTCCTAGCATTTCAACCCTTTAATGCAGTTCCTCCTGTGGCAGTGACCCCCAACCAGAAAATTATTTTGTTGCTACTTCATAATTGTAATTTTGCTACTGTTATGAATCGTAATGTAAATATCTGATATGCAGATATCTGGTATTCAACACCAGTGAAAGGGTCCTTCAACCCTCAAAGGGGTTGTGACCCACAGGTTGAGAACCACTGCCTTGAAGACTCCTCAATAGTAGGGCAGTTCTTCAAGATCAAGAGGTTTTCCAATCATTTCAAGGTCATGCATACATATACATATACATATACATATACATATACATATACATATACATACATATATATGTGAGTGTGTGTATGTGTGTGTGTGTGCGCGCATGTACTCCACGGTGTGCATGTGGAGCTCAGAGGGCAACTTGTGTGAGTCAGTTCTCTCCTTCTACTATGTGGGGCCCAGGAATTGAACTTAGGTCATCAGAGGTGGCAACAAGTGCCTTTGCCTACTGCATTAACAAAGATTAATGACAGCAAGAGAAGAGTATAGGAGAGATTTTTAAAAATAAAAAATATCGGTCAGGCGGTGGTAGCGCACGCCTTTAATCCCAGCACTCGGGAGGCAGAGGCAGGTGGATCTCTGTGAGTTTGAGGCCAGCCTGGTCTACAGAGCGAGATCCAGGAAAGGCACAAAGCTACACAGAGAAACCCTGTCTCAAAAAAAATAAATAAATAAAAAATATCTTCAAGTTGTGTGATAAAAACATGGGAGTTTATTGTGTTGTTTCATTTATTTTTGTATATACTCAAATATGCCACAATAAAAACTTGGGTTTTGTGGTTGTTGTTTTCGTCTTCTCATTAAGACAAGTTCTGGGCCAGGCAGTGGTGGTGCACACCTTTAATCCCAGCACTCAGGAGGCAGAGGCAGGTGGATGTCTGTGAGATCGAGGCCAGCCTGGTCTACAGAGCGAGATCCAGGACAGGCTCCAAAGCTACACAGAGAAACCCTGTCTCAAAAACAAAAAAACCACAAAACAAAACAAAAAACCAACAAGATCTCACAAAGTTTCCCAAGTTGGCCTAGAACTTCTGATCCTTCTACTTCAGTTTTGTTTTGTAAACTTTAAATGGTCCTCGAGTATATCTCAATGCTTCAGAAAAGCAGCCGCTCCTCTTTGGAAGCACCAGTCTCCAAGCCCTTCTCCACTCTGCCCTCCAATACAGACCCTAGGATTCAGCTCTACCAAGTTAGGTGTGATTCCTGGAATAGATGTTTTCAGAATACCCACCTCTTCTTCTCGACAGTAACTACCTACTGTTGTTGCTTGTTTGTTTTTCCTCCAACTCAAATGTCACCAGCCCCAGGAAATCTCTCCTGGCTCAACCTGATAGAGTTATCTCTATTTCCTGGACTCCCACAGTGCTCTGTATAACACTTATATTCATGTATCGCAATGTGCTTATTGCAATACTTTAAAATGCATGCATGATTAACAAGGTGGCAATAGCCTATGGGGGGAAAGTTCATACAGTTATCCAGGCTTGATATTTAAAAATCCTGAATGAATCATCTCGTATGAAAAATTGTTTTAGATTTTTAAATTCCGTCTAATGATTTCTGCATGGGGAGACCTGTAAACTAGACTATATTTACTAAGCCTTGAAAAGTTCTGGATT